ATTTCTCTCGAATTTAAATGTTGAGATTGTAAGAGAAAGACATTGGCTCAGCTCTTTTTTGTTTTTTTTTTTGTGTATTTAGGTGGATTTTTAGTCTGAATCTCAATTTCTTAATTTTGGATATTATATTGTATTATCTTAAGTTGGATAATAAAATTATCACTTTGAATTCCTTAATTTTAGATATTTATTATCTTAAGTTGCATAATATAATTATCTTTAGTTTGAATATTATTACATCAATATACACTCAAACTTGAGTCCTAATTCCCTTCTAACTGAAGTCCTATATAAACGAACCAAACAATCCAATTTATTTCATATTCAATTGTATCTCAGAGTAACGATCAACAACTTCTCGACTTTTGTCAAAGTAAGGAGGAGCCGCAAGACCAACTTCTCGGCCTTGCAACTTGTTCAAAGTAAGGAGGAGCAGCAAGTACAACTTCTTGGCCATGTAACTTGTAAGTTTTTATTAATCACTCTCTTATATATTTCTTTCGTATTACCATTTTTGTCTTTCTCCTCTCTCTATCTCTCTTAATCTTTTCTTAATCTATTTATCCGCTGAGCAACTCGGGCTTGGGTCTGAGGCCGAGTAGGGGTGAATTCAACAACTTGTTGGGATACCAAAAAAAATATGATTAAAATATAAAATAATTCTTAAAAAATAAAAATAGCCCTTTATTTTTGGATGATTTTAAGGGATTTTAGTATGGTTTGAGAAATTTTCTTATGACATGTTCCAATCTTATATTTTTTCATTTTCTTGATTTTTTTGAAATATTCACAGTATAAATCAAATTTTAAAAAATCAAACGTACGTAATAGAAATAATTAAAAGAATAGAGAATAAGAAAAAATACGTAAAAGATGGAATATTTAAAAATTATACTATCTTTTATCAAATTTTAACCTTTTATTTATTTTTCAACGATTTTCATGGTGACTCGATGGACACAATCGAGTTATCTCCTCAACTGCCCTTGGCTGAGGCAAGCTTGTAAAGATTAGATGAGTACTATGAGATCCCAAAAGTTATGTGCCTTCTTTATATATATATATATATATGTATCTTTTTTGTTTTTTTGAGCCAGCTGAAATTGGTTAGAATAGAAAAATCATTAATAAAAATGATACCATTATCTAGTGATGGGAGATTTTTCTTTTCCATTTTTCTTTTCAAGGTGGTCAAAACTTTCTTAGAGAAAAATTTGGACACAGATGGATGTATAAACTTGCAATAATTTGTTAAGTAGAAATATTTGTAATTTGTGGATTAAGGGAAGTCATACTACAAGGGACGCCAATAATTAGGGACAGCTACGGTAATATGAATCATATTATTACTATTGAAATCTTAACATATATTATTTTCTCTTTTTTCAATTTTATTTTTATTATTATTATTGTTATTGTTATTGTTATTGCTATTGCTATTGCTATTGCTATTGCTATTGCTATTGCTATTGCTATTGTTATTATTATTATTATTATTATTATTATTATTATTATTATTATTTTGTGGTTACGTAACTGATAATTCTCTTTTGCTATTGCAGTAAGCTATCTCCCTCTAAAGCCTTACTTTTCCATAAATGGTGGACTGTCCAAAGTATTGCCCTCCTTGGAAGCGTTCTAAGAATCTCCCTCCCACATCCTACCCTTCGTCACAGTCCCTCCCACTTCCTACCCTTCGTCACAGTCGCATTCCGGTGGAAATCTGGTGGATTGTCCAATGTATTGCCCTCCTTGGAGGAAGAATCTCCCTCCCGCTTCCTACCCTTCGTCATTTTGCTAGAAATCGAACAAGACGTGGCACATGGGGGTTTACCCAAAACCATGGGCCAAGTACTTGGAGAAATCCTGCCATTGACTACCCCTCTGGCCCTATCAAGCCTATAAACATGGTTAAGAGTCCCAGTAATATAGCAGAAGTTAGAGTTTCGAATTTGATTGTTCAAGTTTTGGTTGTTATTGAAGTTGTAGAAACAAACTTTTCCAAAGAGGATGCAGAGCCTATTATTGTTGAGAGGTATGCTGGACCTGGGTTCTGGCGTTCTCCTCTTCCAAGTGATGTCCCAATGCCTAGGCCAAGAGTTTTGCGGTCTCCACCTCCTCAGCATTGACCTTTGAGTAATTGAATAACAAGATAACTTTCTACATGAGTTTCCACACACTTCCGCGTATATTTTCTCTTTTTCTCCTTGATAAACATTTGTATTTCTTGTGCCATAGACATAAGTCAGGGTGAAATCTTAGAAGCCCATCACTTACTCCTGATATTACATTTCAACTGTGATCTTAGATGAAAGTTTTATTTGATGTTTCTCTTAATGTTTTTCTTTTGAAACTAGGCACTCCAAGAATTTGTTTTGCACAACTCTCTTTAAATCGATATAATTTACAAGTTCTATAGCAATTTCATTTCAACTGTTCATAAATAATTCATCCAAGCAATTTCTACAAATTCTAGCAACAAACAATCATTTCCAAAAGAGAAAATGGTGAGAGAGAGAGAGAGAGAGCAGTTTAATTATGGGATTATCTATAAGGAGACCATTTATCTTTTATACAAGGCGGTCACAATCATTCGTGTTCCTTCAATTTCAAAATGGGTGATTGTAAGAGTGTCATTGAATTAGGGTGGCGAACGGGTCACGTCAAGTCTGGGTCCAGACTCAAAAAATTTTTATGGGACTCAAGACTCAGACTCGATTGGACCCGACCCCAAAAAAAAGTAAAAAATAAAAAAATCAATTATTATGTTAAATATATGCATGTATTATTTAAGGGATCGTGTACAAAGAGACCATTTACATTTGATACAAGGAAGTTACAATTACTTACAACCATCAGATGTGAAATCTGATAGCTTGGGTGTGTTACAAAGTTCAAAAAAAATTCTTTTAAAGTTTGAGTTTGGTCAATGGAAAAAATACGACCATCTAATTTCATATCTGATGGTCAAGATTAATTGTGACCATCTTGTACTAAAAATAAATGATCTCCTTATATACATTTTCATTATTGTACTAAAGATAAATGGTCTCATTATATCCTTTTCCATTATTTAAATATTATAACTTAAAATATATATTCTTATATTTATGTAAATATTATTTAAATTTTATTATATATTATTCAACTATTTTATATTTAATATTATTTAAATAATAACACTATTTGGGTCGGGTCTGGGTCAGGTCCACATGGACCTGGACCCAACGCTTTAGGTCCAATATTTTGACCCATACCCGGACCTACTTCAGATCCCGGTCCATTGTCACCCCTATATTGAATAGACAAAAAGTTCCAAAAAAAAAAAAATTTCTCGGACTTTGTGACTCACTCCAAGCCATCTAATTTGACATCTAATGAGTGGAGATGATTGTGACCTCCATGTTTATTGTACAAAGATGTAAAAAATACCTTTAATAATATATCCTACATAAAGGAAGTTGTCATAGAATTTTGATGGTCAAAAGATATAACAATGGTTAGATCTTCAAAGAACAATTGTTTCATGTGGGCTGGACCGCATTTGTATAATATGCAGTCCAAAGTTATAAGGTGGTTCATCTAAAAACAATTGAAACTAACAGTCCAAATGTTTCTTACTATAATTGTTATTTGTAATTTTTAAAATTTATTCATTTTTCCACATTCAAGATCTCCATGTTAAAGACTGTATGTTCTCTAAAAATTAGGATCAAATTCTATTTTAATAATAAATTTATTAAAGGGCCCACATTTCTACATGTGCACCGCATGTTAACCACGACCATTTTCAAATGACATTAAAACAACTCCCGTTTTTTCCATCATTAAATATCTAGGAAAATAACTCTATAACATCCTCCATATGGTTCTCACCTCTGTACCTCTCTTTTCACACATTGGTTCTCAGTGGCTTAAAAAACAAACCAGTGCCCCCGATCAGGCACCCCAAAAACCCATCCGGATCAATGAATCGGCGTTTTGGATAAAGAATCGGCCAAATCGATCGGATTCGGCCTTTAAAAAAATTCAAAAAAATTATTAAAAATCATTATAAATGTTTTTTTTTGGATTAATGAGAGTACTATATTAATATTATCATCAAACATTGATTAAAATATAACTAAATACAATATTATACATTAAAATTAGATATATTGGTTTGTATTTATTATTTTATCATCATTTTACTATACAAATAATAATAAATTTGAATTTTGTCGTATAATATCGTCTAATTTTAAAATATAATTTACAACTATAACAAAAAAGAATATATAAATATATATTATATATAATATTTAACCTAATATAATATATAACATAGTGTATTTTATATTTATTTTATACTATAATATATAATATGAAATAAAATATATTATATTACATAAATGTATATATTATATGTAATAAAATATATTATATTACATCAATGTATAATATAATAATTGATGTAATATAATATATAATATATAATAGATAAAATATGATATAATATATAGCATACTGAATTTTATTTTTATGTTATTATATAATATATAATATGTAATAAAATATTATATACATAACAATATACTATATATAATACAAATATATATTGATAATAGAAATATAAATATATAATATATATTACAATAATATAATATATAATATATATAACATTATATAATATATAATATAGTGTATTTCATATTTATTTTATTATATAACATTTAATAAAATATATTATATCCATAAATATATATACTATACAATACAAATATATTAATAATTTAAATATAAATATATAATATATTTTATATTATATTATATTTTATATTTATTCTATTAATCTATATTTATTATATATAATATCATATAATATTGTGTGGGGTGAAAATCTTGACTGATAGATATCCTGATAGATCTTACCTTATTGAAGAGGATTCCTTAAATGCGGTCAAATGGTGTAGTAAAGAGCAAAAAGTCCCTTGGAAGCTTCTTGGCCAATGGTTGCAATCATGGATTTGGTTGTTTCATTTGTCCATGTGTATAGGGAAGCTAATTTTTTGACGGATTCTTTGGCTAAGGGTGATGCTTCATTACCTTCTCTTGTTGCTTTAAATGATGTAATCTCTTTCCATAGTTAGCAATAAACTTTTTGAATCTTTTGTCAAAAAAAAAAAGAGATGTAATAGAAGTTATGATTTGAACCATAGTCATTGTCGACATAAAAGGGTATCCATCATAGCAGTATATAATTGGTTTTGGCTTTTCACCTGTTTCAACCCAGACATTCAAATCTATTTGGCCATAAACTCGTGTTGCTTTATCATTTGACCTGAAATATAGGTCACCAATATGATCCACCATGTTAACTACAGCTTTAGCAACATTTATTGAATCTTAGGCAGTTCTCAAAATTTATTTGAAGGAAATCCTCCCAGGTAGACCTTCTGTGCGGCGAAGTCGAGGGACAGTGTCGCTCTTGTGGGAGGATGCCATACACTTTTGTAAGTAGAAGGCCTTTGAAGGTTTCGGTTTGGTGAGAAAAATGAATCAATTTGATATTTTGACCGATTTTGAGAAAGATTTCAGATTTTTTTTTTTTTAATTTAATATAAATAAATTAGATATTTATATATTTAAAATATTTAAATATAATTGGCTGAAAAGACGGAAACTTCGACCTGAAGCTGACTAAAGCAACAGCACCAAACTTTCGTTTCACTTCACTCCAAGCGAAGGAATTGAAGCTGACTAAAGCAACAGCACCAAACTTTCGTTTCACTTCATTCCAAGCGAAGGAATTGAGATTATTGGTGAAAGGTGTGAGGTATCACAAGGGTCGTAAGGTCGACATCGTTTGAACGAGATACGTTCAAATGTGTCCAGCGAGAGAGTTGCCGGGACGATTTCTTGTCGAACACGAGATCAACCAACCCTACTTAGCAACCTCACATGGCTTTCACATGCTACGTAGTAGAGAGTGAGTGAAACACTTGTGGATGTTACGTCACAGAAGCCAAATTAATCTCCAATATAATAAAATTACAAGGTCCCAATTACTTGGGACCATTCGATGCGAAATCTTATGGCTTTGAGTGTCACATAACTCAAGAAAAATTCTATGTACCCGTTAATTAGAACCTTATATATATATATATATATATATATATATAAACTCAAGTTAGTCCATTAGCTCATATGAATATATGAGCCTAACGACTCAGATTCAATCTGGGTCGATATGACGATCACAGATATCCAGTAGTGTTTAAATTTTTTTTTTTCTACAAATCTAAATCATTTGAAATTTTAGACATGTGTTCATCAAAAATAGGTGAATCTTCGAAAAATATTAAAAACATATTTTACATGAAATAAATTGACGAAAATACCCCTTAAAAGTTTCAAGAGTGTTTTTTACGAATAAATTTTTTTATATTTTTATTAGGTGTGCCTTGATGAGAAGAACACATGCCTAAAATTTCAAGTGATTTGAATTTATAAAAAAAATATTAAAATTCAAGTGCTATCAGACATTTATGATCATCAGATCGGCCCAGATTCAATCTAAGCTATTCGGTTCATATAGATATGAGTAACAATACTATGAGGCACCATGTGAGTAGGATTTCAAAGGATTACCGTTAAATTTTGATATAGATCTCTAAAAAAATTATCAATAAACTTATTTACCTAACTTCAACATTCATGCCATAATTTTTTTGAGATCTATATCAAAATTTAATGGTGATCCTTTTGGATCCTACTCACATAAGTGTGGGAAGGTCTCATAGCATCATTACTCTATATATATATTTAAACTTTTTTTTGCTTGTAAGCCAAAAAAAGTAAAATTTATTAAAAATTATACTAATGTTTTAGTAAACTTTAAAAACCTTAGAAATACATTGGGAAATAAAAAGCACAAGGGGGTAGGGACACGTGGCTCTCTCTAAAAATCCATTCGCTCTGTCTTTAAAATAACAGTTTTTTCACCCCGTTTTGTCTTTTTTCTAAGAATCCATTCTCTCTCTAAAAACCCATTTACTTATATTTTTTCTTTCTTGATCTTTCTTCCCTCTCCAAAACTCATTCTCTCTAGTTTTTTTTCGGCGAATCAATCAAGAGGGGTCAGTAAGAATTAAATCCAGGAGGTAGCGTTGCAAATCTGCTAACCAATTAAACCCGGGCTCGTTTCCTATTTCTCTCTCTTAGTTTTGCGTTGGACAATTACGTGAAAATAGGTTCCTCATTTGATTACCAATGTCCTCTCTCTCTACGACCACTTCTCCTCATTTCTCCTCTATCTACCATTTCTCTCTCTTGTGGTCTTTTAGTGTTGGGGACACCATTCTATGGAACAGTGAGGCCGTGATCCTTCTCATCTAGAGAGAGGGGTTGCGTCATGGGCCTCTCATATAAAATGGCGAAGGGAAGAGAGAGAGAGATGCAGGGAGGGCTTCGGCAAGGGGAGCGAGAGTGAAGTAGGGTGATGCAAATAATATTAGGATTATTTTAACTTTTATTTATTTTTTTGTTTATCTCTTCAGGAATAGCGTGCACAGGGACAATTAGGTGGGCATGAATTTATCGAATTATCTTGTAGATATTGATCAATTGGATTGGGTTAGTTTAAGAGTATAAATAGATAAAGCTAAATTAGAGGATCTAGTTTAAGATTGTAAAATGATAAGGTTAAATAAAAAAGTAGTTTTTAAGCTTTGGGTAAAAGGGGATCATACGTGAGGTTAAAGGAAGAGATAGAGAAAATAAGAAAGAAGAGATAAAATAGGATAAGTGTAGAGAGAGTTTTTGAGTTAATAAAATATTGTCTCGCGATTAGATTTTTGGGGTGGATTCCCTTTCAAACCTTAAGAGATGGTATATTATAAACCTTAAGGTGAATTTCCTTGCAGACCATTGCAGACAGTGAGAGAGGGTATATTCTCTCAACTTTTTTTTTTTTTATGGTGTTATTTCTTTGCATCAATCTCAATCAATTGGTATCAGAGCAAATCAGATCCAGCATCAATTGGTATCACAGCAAATCAGATCCAACAGAGAGCAAGTTAGAACAGAGCAAGTTAGATCCAAATAAGTTAAATCTACAAAGACCAAGTTAGATCAAAGCAAGTTAAATTTGCTATGGATGATCGTTGGGAACAAACTTGGGATCATTGGGAACGAGCTATAGAAAAGTTTTCTAAAATCTTAGAGGATGTTCGAACTGAAATACGTGAGAAGAAACATGAGATGCAGTGGTTGGAGAACAATTTTCCTCTTGAAGAAGAAATTTGCAAGCTAGATCCGACGTGTTTTATAGAGAAGTCAGATCCACGACATCCTATAGAACGACTACGAAATTTTGACATTAAAATCGATCTCCCAAAATTTCATGGTCAAAGGTGTTCATCGATTGAACTTGGTGTTTTTTTTAGAGTTGTACATATTCCTGGTTAGGAATAATCAGCCCAAGCTCGTATTCAACAATTACTCTTGGAATCGTATTCAACAATAACTCTTGGAACTGTATTCAACAGTACTCTTTGAACACAGTTGCAGGCATCAGTCTTGAAGAAAAAAGTTAGACTTCATCATGAATTTATCGAATTTATCTTGTGCATATTGATCAATTGGATTGGGTTAGTTTAGGAGTATAAATAGATAAGGCTAAATTAGGGGAGCTAGTTTAGGAATGTAAAATAATAAAGGTTAAATAAAAAAGTAGTTTTTAGGCTTTTAGGTAAAAGGGGATGGTACCTGAGGTTAAGGAAAGAGAGAGAAAATAGGGAAGAAGAGATAAAATAAAAAAAATATAGAGAGAGCTTTTCTTTTTTAGTCTATTTAAAAGGAGGTTTCTCTTCATCGTAAAAGTTTATTTAAAAGGAGGTTTCCTTTCATTGTAAAAAAGCTAGATAAGTTAATAAAATTTGAGGTGCATTCTTTTGCAGACTTTGAGAGAGAATATAAGGTGAATTCCCTTGCACATCATGAGAGAGAGTATATTATCTCAATCTTGGGGTGAATTCCCTCTCAGATCTTGAGAGCGGGTACATTCTCTCAACTTTTTATTTTTATTTTTTTCTGGTTTTATTTTTTTACATCAATTGGTACCTTGGTATCAAAGCTTCATCAATTTGCGTCAAGGGGAAGGCCCTCGGGCCAGGGGAAGAAAAGACAATGAGGGATTTCAGGCTTTCCAGTCCATTTCAGGTCGACCCGTTAAAAACCCAAGCTGACAAAGGTTGCTTTTTCCCTAGCCTGGCCCAGCACCCCATTTGGCCCAAACATTGCCGAATTTTCCAGCCCGGCCTATTGGCAGGGCTATACTCTCGCATAAAACACGATCTCATATTAACTTTAGAACCGAAATTTTGGGATATAACCTCTGCGACCCATTAATCGACCTTAGTAAACAAAGATTTTTTAATTGCACACTTGGTGCACTGGAAAAAAAAAAATAATGTTTCAAGATTCAGTAGAGAACTCGAATTGTAAGAGGGTGAGATCTAAGTTTTAAAAAACTCAAATTTATTTATTTTTATTTTTTTTGAAATAGTCATCTTGTTATTCTTAGGTAGTTTCTAGAAAATATTGAAAAAATTCCTCCCAAGTAAATTTTTTTTTGACTGAGGGAATAAATTACACTGTGCTCCCGTGGGAGCATATTACATGCACTCACAACAAAATTTGCTAAGCGCAATGAATCCATAGTCTAACAAATCGCAGTGTGTGTACTTCATGTCTACATCCACCTCAACCTACAAACACTTAAGAGACCAAATGTATTGGAGATAGGGGTGGCCATGGATCCGGACCCGACTAGATCCAACCGGGTCCAAAAATTAGACCCAGTAAGTTAAGATTCATGTAGACCCAATCTGAAAAGTGTTTAATATTTAAATAATATTTAATATATAATATTTTAATAATATTTAATTAATATTAAAAATATAACTATCTACTTTTAATTATAATATTTAAATAAGAAAAAAGTTTATATAAGAATGCAACCTTATAATGTAGAACTACGGATGCACCTCAAAAATCCATCGGAAAAGGTAGTTTTATTGTTGAAAAACCCTTTGATTGATCATCTCGACATCAAGATGTATGACCATAAAAAATAAAAAGATTTTAAGTTTAAGAAATAGTACATTTTATAATATATTATCTACACCGTCCATTTTCAAGATTTTTATATGTTTATAGATCTACTTGATTTTAACCATTTTTGAAATTTAAAATTTTATAATTAGATATAAAAATAGATTTTGAGATAATCCTAAGAAGATTTTACATCAAAATTATATCCCATTATCAAATTTGGAGGTGCACCTTACCTCTACAGCTACGAATGCATCCGTATACCAACTGCACCCTTAAAATAATACATGTATAAAAAATAGTTAAATACAAGGATTTAAAAATTGGCGGGTCGGCACGAAATGGCCTGGTCGGACCCGAGAATCGGTTACCCTGTGCCGATTCTGTAAATATATAGGAAATCGCCCGGGTCTAGAAGAGAACTAGTGACGTTACATTAAAACAGTGTTTTGCTATAGTAAAAACACAGATTCACCGATTCGGACCGGTTCTTGACAGATTCACTATTGCACATATTTTTTCGCAGGTTCACTATCAGTAAAATGGCGATCCAAACTGCCGACTTACCGATCCAAATCGCTTTTTGCAATGCCCTATCCTAGTCGCCGATCCGGTTTTTAAATCATAGCTTAAATATATTTGAATATATATATATATATATATATATATATATATATATATATATTA